GTGCAGCCTCCTCTCCCAGCAACCCCTCCCACGCCCTTTTCTCCTACTCCTCAAGCATGCTGTGGTTTTCTTGAGGCCCCGCGCCTTGCAATGCTGCCCAGAACATACGTTATCTCTTCTCTTCCTCCTCCTCAACCATCCCTACCCCACATTGAGCAGTTTTTGTGTCAGGCCTTGTTTAAGTCCTTTACTACTGTACCAACAAGGAATCCATTGCAGAAATCCCCACTTAGAGTGCTTTAAGCACTCACACAGGGAGAAGTCCTGAGAAGGACTCCAGGGCTGGTATGGTAGTTCAGATGCCATCAGGTCCCCAGCCTCTTCCATCCTGAATGTGTAGGCCCCAAATTCATGTTGGCTACTCATAGTCACAAGATGGCTGCTGCCTCTCCCAGCATTATATCTCCTCTCCAGACAGAAGACAGGAAAGGAGCAAAGAATTTTCACCTAGTGAGGTAAACCCTCCACAGGGACTTCTGTGTATGTGGCCAGAATTATGTCACATGGCCCCTTCTAACTGCAAGGGAGGCTGGGAGCATGAGTGTTTTACCTTTCCAGCCTCAGTGGTAGTAAAAGGCAAAGAGGAAGAGAGTTGTGAATGGCTTTTGGGTAGCTCATCTACAGTGCCTGCCATACATTTCACCTCATTTCAGTCACATTTTATCTCATTTAATTCACAGCAGTGCTGTGAATTAAAGGTTTCTGTTATGCCCATTTCACCAATGAGAAAACCAAGGCTCAAAGAGATAACTAATCCACTTCTTCATGACCTGAGTTTGGCACCCCTTCTTCCTGGAAGAATTCCTGGATGCCCCAACCCCAGGCTGAGTTAGTTATGTGCTCTTCCCCGTGCACCCTGGGCCTGCATCCATGTTGACATCTCCAGCTGTCCCTAAGTGCTGTGTGAGCCCCACCTGTGTCTTCTGCATCCCCAGGGCCTGGCAAGGTCACAGGCCCTGAGCTGTGCCCTGGAGTGTCTGCTGAGTGACAAGCGAGGCAGTGGCCCTGCTCCACTGGGGGTGCCCAGACCGCTGGAGCACTAAAGCATCACTTTAGAGGGCAGAGACAAATCGGCAGGTCCCCCAGAAGACTCATCCTGCCAGAAACAAGGCAGCGTCAGCATGGCGCGGCCAGAACTCAGAGCAGACTCCTGCAGGCCGTGGTGTCTCTAATTGACCGCACTGCCTCTGAGGCCCAGCCACTTCCCTTGGGGGGGAGACTGAGGCCTGGAACGTTCCTCCCAGGGCAGCCGGAAGGGGGAATATAAGATCCTCTGCAATGTGGTTTGCGTTACTGCAGCTTTGGCCATGGAGGGGGCTCCTCGAGTCAGGCAGGAAGCAGAAAATATCAGATTTAGAGCCCACATTCCATGCATTGTATACAATTATCCGCTGGAGACACATAGGGGTACGCAGGACCCCCAGAGGCAGAAAATGGGATTGCTCTCCAGGACGGGGTCACTCCTTCATGGGGAACCAGCCTGCCTTCTTGGCAGGCACCAGGTGTGCCAAGTCCCCCTGCGGTGTGAACCTCAGAGACAGGGGTAGGGCTCATTTACCTACAAGGCATTGGTGACAGGCATGCTGCCAGCCCCAGCAATGATGCAGAGTCCCCTTCTTTGCAGCCCTCCACCTCTGCTCGCCCTGAAACATAAGTGCTTCCCTAGACCCTCCTGGGCTGTCTTCTCCACAGGTCCTCACGGGCAGGCTCAGCCCTACTCTCAGCTCCCACAGCTTCCTATCTGTGAGCCCCAGCCCTGGCCCGCCTCCTGAGATCCAGAGCCACAGATCCAGTCACTTCGATGGCCCCTGGCCCTCAGACACCACTTGTCCAAAATGGAACTCGTTATCCCACCAAAAATGTGTCCCTTCTCCAGGTGTCCCTGCCCCAGAGAATGGCATCACCATCCAGCCACTCCCAGGAGCCAAACCATAGCAGCATCCTAAGTCCTCCTGCCCACATTCGCTCAGGTCCCGAGTCTTGGCCAATTCCACCTCCTAAGTCTGTCTCTCACCTGTGCCCGTTCTCCACCCAGGTGGCCATCACCCTAGTTCATGCCACCATCATCTCCAGTCTGGAGTGTTCTGCAGTTCTGCTCACCTCATCACCTTCAGCATCTTACGTTCCAAACCACTGTCCACAGCACAGCTGGCTGGGCCACTCCTACGTTCACAGTCCCGCGATGGGCTTGAGCCGGCCTCAGGATCAGCATGAAGCCCTCAGCTTGGTGTACACAGCTCTCCATGCCCTGGTTCCCCCCGTCCCCTCCCCTTGACCTCTCGCCCTCCCTTGTTCCCTGAAGTCTGTGTTCCTTCTCGTCTCTAGGGCTCTGTGCATGATATTCCTTCTACTCTGTTCTATTCCTTCTTATTTTTTCAGGTTTACCTTGGACTTTGGCTCCTTTAGAAAGCCCTCCCTGATCCCCTCCCCACCTCAAGTATAAGCAGAAGGAAGCTTACTGACAGCATCGACTGTGCCTTATTCACTGTGTATTCTCAGTGCCCAGCACATTGTGTATGGTCGGGAAACATCTGTGCAACGGCCCTTCCCAGGAGCTGCACTGTGCCAGTGCTGCAGTGCTGAGGTCCGTGCTCTTCCTGCCTTCCTCTGAGGTGAGGCACGTCAATTTAAACAAGACAAGGGGACCCTGTGCTACCACGAACCCTGCCTGGCAGACAGATGGGCAGGTGGGCAGGCAGAGCAGACAGCCGACCGGGTTTCCCTGCAATACCTTCATTCGCTCATCCTTCCATTCACTATGGTTCATCTGGTCTATAAATTTGAAACAAACCCAATAAGGCACATAAATGTATGTATTTATTCAAGAGACACATTGGGGAGCGATTCATTTTTCAAAACTTTTTACCGTAGAATTTCCTCATGAAAATCTGACTCAAATACAGGTAATAATGATGTTGGTCATGATGATGATGGTGGTGGTGGTTGGTAGGTCGAGGTTCATAGGGACACTGTTCTGTCCTTCCTCTAGGAAACATGACAGACATTACCCCATCGAGCACTCTGGCACCACAAGCCCCAGCTTCTATTGTTCTCTCTCACCGGGGCTCTCACAGAGAGAGCATGGAAGGGGGCAGCGGTTTGTACTTTCCTCCTGGCCCTGTTTCCAGACTCAGCTTTTCTTCTCTGGGCCACTTGGGCAGGTGACACGACCTCTGTTTCTCATCCCATGGAGAGGTGAGTCCACCATGAGAGGGTCTGTTACGTTCTGCGTGCCTCTGCCTTTAAGCCCCCTTCTGAGGAACGCTGGCCCCTGGACCCCACTGCCCCGGCCCCAGCCATGGACCCAAAGGCACCACTGGAGGCAGGCCAGACCTAGAGAGTGAGCAGACAGCAGAAAGAGCCAGAACCTTGAGGAGAGGGCAAGAGAGGGGAAGCTGGGGGCAGCAGGTCCGTAGGCATGCTCTGAGAGCACAGGGCTGGAGTGTCCTGTTCACTGAGACCTCCAGAGCCTCCACAGGGTGGGGAACAGAGGCCCAGCTCAGTAGATATTACTGAATGAATGAATGAATGAGTTAATGAACAAATAAGTGAAAAGGCCTAGAGAGAGAAGAGAGGAGTTTTGTGATGGAGTCCAACTAGCAACAGAAGCCAGGCAGAGAGTCCTGTCTTTCAGTTGCTAAACATCAGAACAACGCAAAGGCTCACACTGTCACACGTGGCAGGCCCTGGCTCAGTGTTTTACATCAGAGTCCCAGGGCGGTGGGGCGTGGCAGGGGGGCTGGTTCTTTGGGAAAATGCAGTCAAGCAGAAACCTCTCCTCCTCCTGCCAGAGGGTGGGAGGAGCTTGGGAGGGGCGTCATCAGGAAGGAGGAAAGGAGCAGGAGGGCTCCTGGAGGGCAGGGTCTGCACAGAGAGGGAGAGAGTTTCAGCAGCTCGGTGCCAGGGAAGTTGTGGGTGACAGACTCTCTCCTTGACCAAACTTGGGGCTCCTCTGAGCCGTCTTCTCCACCAGGCCTTGGCCTTGACCTTGACCCCCACCCCCCTCCCCTCTTTGGCCTGCCTGATCCAGTCTTAGCAAGAATTCTGCTAATTCTGTTTAGAGACAATCCCCACCCCGCCTCCCACCGCCCCCCTACCCCTACCCCGCGCATATCTGAGTTCTTCACCCCCTACTTTGACGTCTGGGCCTTGGCCTGCCTTCAGCAAGATTCCCCCTGGCCTTGCTGTCCCCTGGGTCATTTCCCATCACTGCCCCTCACCCTGCTCCTTGGGTATCCCCCCCACTCGTCCTCGCTGTCTTCAGAGTTGAGCCTGACCTCTCTCCTACTGCAATATCTCCAGTACAGTCTTCCTTACCGTCTTAACAAGCGTCAGAATAACATTTCTTTAGCAGGGGAGAGGAAAGACAGTTTTTTCAGCTTTTGTTGGGAAGGGCCTGTTAGCCTCTTTCAGGAAAGCTGCTAGAAGGCCTCTGGAGTCAGGATGCAGTTTCTTCAGCTCCCCCTCCACAAAGGGGTCTCATTTATCTTGTTTGCTGGGTTCTATGTCACCTCATTTGACCCTCCTAACATCTCTCCGAACATCCCTGGAGCCATGAGCACTGGCTGCATTGCTTCCACAACACTCTCCCAAAGACCAAATAATATCTCGTGTGAGCCGCGGCTCTCCGGGCACGCCTGAGAGGCAAACGGGCGCATGCACTAACAACGCCGGGGCAGCGGGCGCAAACCAGGACCATGGGTTTCCGACACGAACACCTCTCTTTCCTCGCGCGCCTGCCGGCCGCCCAGTTGACTCAGGACACTCGGCACAGGCGCGCGGAGCCCGGGAGGCGGGGCGCGCGGGGTCGCGGCTCAGCTCTACCCGGGCCTCCCGCAGCGCCGAGTTCGCGCACGGCCCTCCGCGCACGGCCACCGCCGAGAGTTCCAGAAAATCCTGGAAATCCACGGCCCCCAGTGGGCCGAGCCCGGTGGCCACTAGGTGGCGGTGCCGGGCCGGGCCGTGCGCGCGGGGCGGGGACGCGGCGACGCCGGCGCCTGCGGGTCCCGTGACCGCGCGCCCCGCCCGGAGCTGCCGCCGTGATGCAGTCCCCGGCGGTGCTCGTCACCTCCAGGTGAGCCAGACCCCCGCCCCGCGCCGCGCCTCGGTCAACGAGCAGTCCGGGGGCGCGCGGGCCGCGACCCAAGGCGCCCGACGCGGAGGAGCAGGCGGAGGCGGCTGGCCTCGCCGGCGCGCTGGCGGTTTCTCTGGGCTTAGCCCTTCCACCGCCCTGCGGGAGAGGGTGGCGGCGTCGAGTGTCCCGTTTTACAGCTGGGGAAACTGAGGCTCCTAGAGCGTAACGAACTCACCAAGACCCAGAGGAAGCCCTGGACTGGTTGGTCCTGCGCAGGCGGGCAGAGGGGGCTCTCCTCTCCCCTTCCCTGCCCACCCGCGTTCATTTCTTTTGGCCCCAAAATCTAGTTATGCATCCTTTGGTGCTCACCGTGTGCCAGGCCCGGTGCTTGGCGCTGGGGACGGGGGTGAATCAGACAAGGCCCCGCCCTGCCGGGGGAGACGGGGATGACCGCAGACCTGCCGGGGACAGATGCTGGGAGGGGGTAGTAAGTCAGGTTGCCATGGGAACACAGTGAGGGGTGTAACCCAGGCTTCTGGGAGGGGGTGAGTGAGGCCATGTCCTGCAGGACGAGTGGACGTTAACCAGGTGAAGGGGAGCGAAGAGGTGGCGGCTGCTCAAGGAGGTGGCTCAGGAGAAGTGCAGGTTAGAGCAAAGGCCTGGGAGGGGCTCTGGGAGGCAGAGGATGCAGGGTGGGCCCACCCTGAGCCAGGCCTGGAGGACCCAGTGCAGGATGGATCCTGGAAGGGCTGGGGTGGACATGGTTTTACTCCTTTCCCCCTTTTAAATATCTGTGAAGTAACTCACTTCAAGTATTTTCATACAGTCTTATTTCCCCTACACAAATTCTTGGGCTAAGACACCAATTTATTTCGTAAGTAAATGTGTTACCCAGCCCAACTGTTATTTTTCCGGCTGTAATTTGAACTTCCCTGTGACTTCACGTCTAGAAAAACACGATTCTTTCAGTAAACTCTGATGTCAGAACCTGCTTGGCCTCCTCGGCGTGATACAGTGAGGCTGCAGGTCATCTCTTCATTGGCAGAAGAGGTTTCCCTAGTGCCGCATAAGTCACCTCCTCTTTCTGTGCCTCAGTTTCCTTTTCTGCAAAAAGGAGGTTTGAGATTGGCAGGTGTGAGCAGGGCCAGCAGCAGATGCCCCTCCCAGCCACGTGCAGACCCGTGGGGTGTGACTTTGGTGCTGGGTGCTTGGGAAGGCGCTGGGTGGCTTCCCTCACTGCCCCAGCCCGGACAGGGCTTGTTCACAGACACGGGTGCCAAGGGAGTGGTGCTCACTCCTTGCTGGCAGGAAAACCCCAGGAGGGGCCTGCAGGGTAAGTCCAACTGCCAGACACCAGCCGCCTCACAGGCTCTTCACAGTTGGGCCCCAACTCAGCTTCCCAGCCCAGCTTCCCCCCTCATCACCACGTGCATTCATGCCTTCAGTCATCCAGCAGATCTTTCTCGAGGGCCCACTCTGCCCGGTGCTGGTCTGGTTCTGGATACAGTGATGAATCAAACCAAGTCCGTCTCATGGAGCGTTGGTGGGGACAGGTGGACAGTATGTGATATGTCGGCGATGATAAATGATATGAAGGAAAGTAAGACAGGAGTGGAAATAGAGTGACAGGAGTGAGTGCTGTTTTACTTGGTGTGGTCCAGGAGCGTCATTCTGACTGAGTAGAACTTGGGCAGATCCCTGACAAGCTCTCTGAGGGAGAGAGCCACGAATGAGAACTCTTGAGAAACAGTGTACCAGGCAGACAGCAGCAGGGGCCAGTGTCCTGGGGCAGGAGGGTGCTAGGGCACCAGCAAGGAGGCCAGCGTGGCTGGAGTGGAGTGACCGGGGAGAGTGTTGGGTGACGCGGTGAAGAGCTGTGGGCTTGGGAGCAGGGGACAGGCAGGACAGCCTCGCAGGTCACGGTAAGGCTTGGCTTGCATTCCGAGCGCCAGGGGACCTGCCTTAGATTTCACGAAGGTGCTTTGCTGCTGTGTTGAGCAGACCGTAGGTGAGCAGGGGCAGCCAGGAGACCATCCAGGAGGCTCTTGCGGTCATCCGCATGAGAGCTGAGGGTGGTTTGGACCACGGTGATGGGGGTGGAAGGGTGGGAAATGTTTGGGTTCTGGATATATTTTGAAGATTGAGCTTTCAGGGTTTGCTGATGATTAGGTGTGGGATGTGAGAACAAGAAAGAGGAGTCAGGACTGACTGCAAAGCTTTTGTCCTAAGTTCCTGGAAGAGTGAGGCCGCATGTTCTGAGATGGGGAGACTGTGAAAGGAGCAGGTGTGGGGAAGGTGGGAGTCAGCATCAGTCTAGACACGTCAGTGTTCAGCTGCCTGTGGATGCCAAGTGGAGATGTTAGGCAGACAGCTGGGAGGAGTGTGGCCTCGAGGGGGGAGTCCGGACTAGAGATAGGGATTTGGGGACCATTGGCCCGTAAATGATATTTAAAGCCTTGGACGTGGTTGAGGTCACCTGGGTAAGAGTGCAGCGAGAGAAAAGGTCTAAGGGGGTTGCTCTGGCGGGATGGGGGACCATCCAGGGAAGCAGAGCAGGAGCGGCCAGGGAGGGCAGAGAAGAACTGAGAGAGAGTGAGGGTCCTGGAAGCCAGTGAAGACAGAGCTCCAGGGAGCAGAGAGTGAGGACCAAGTGCCGCTGATCTAAGAGGAGAAGCGAGAATTAAGCTTTGGTTTTAACAGCGTGGAGGTCCCCGGTGACCTGGGCACGCACAGTTTCTGCTGCAGGATGAGGACAAAAGATTGGTAGGAATGGATTTGGGCTCAAACAGGAGGAGAGGAACCGGAGACATGAATACAGGCCGCTGTCCTGAGGAATTTTGCTGAAAAGGGGAGCAGAGAAACAGAGCAGTAGCTGAAGGGGAGGTTCAGGCTGAAAGACAGCTTTGTTAAGAAGTGAGAATGATCAGTAATGAGGGGAAACTGATGTTGCCAAAAAGAGGGGAGACAGCGGAAGCCATGTCTTTGAGAGAGTAGGTGAGAGGGGTTGCCCTTAGGTAGGAGCCAGCAAGTCTGTCCCCAGTGGCAGGGGAGGCAGATGTAGGCGATTGAGGATGTGACTCAGGAAGTCCACTGATGGCTTCCCTCTCCTAAGGGAAATAGGAAGCAGGGTCCTGGGAGGGGGGAGACAGGTGTTGAGGGTTTGCTGAGAGAGGTGACTTAGATGCCTTGCTACTCAGTGGACGGTCCAGGAGCTGGTTAGAAATGCAGACTCTCAGGCTCCGCCCCAGACCTGGTGAATGTGAATCTGCATATTGACAAGATCCCAGGTCACGTGGACGCGCTTTCCAGTTTAAGAAGCCTGGTCTAGGACAGGTGGGCGAACTGCGCCCGTGGGCGAAATCCTAGAAGCCTGGTCTAGGACAGGTGGGCGAACTGCGCATGTGGGTGAAATCCTGCTGCCAAATTTGCTTTTGTACATCAGGTTTACGTATCGTCTGTGGCTACTTGCCACAGCGGCCGAGTTGAGTAGTCTAAGGAACAGAGGCCTTGTGGCCTTTAAAGCCTAAAATATTTGCTGTGTTTCCGGCCCTTTACAGAAGAAGTTTGCCTGGGGCGTAGAGGCATGGGAGAGCGAGTGGATTAGGCTCAGGTGCGTCAGAGTCACCTGCAGGACTTGTCAAAAGGAAGATCGTGGGTCCCATCCCAGGGCTCCTGACTCAGTAGCCCGAATTTGCCTTTCTAACAAGTTTCCAGGTGACACTGATGCTGCAGGGACCACGCTTTGAGAACCCCCCATCTAGACCAAGGGAGGGGAGCCAGGTCCCGCTGAAGCTTGCCGGTTGTAGGTTATGGCACGAACTTCAGGCAGACCAGGCGACGTGTGCATGTTTATCCTGGTCACGTGCAGCTGCTGGCGCAGGTGCAAAGGAGGCGGAGAGCTGGAGAGTTCAGTACTTAGTTTTCACAGTGATCCTAATTCCTGCTTCCTTCCTTTGTCATGCACTGGAATAGACAGCCTAGGCTCTGGGGCGACTGCCTGGGAGTGAACCCTGGTTCCCCCTCTGACCCCTGAGACCGTGGGCAGGTGACCCCCTCTTTGTGCCTGTTTCCCTGTCTTTAAATGGGTCTGAGCAGTAATGTCCCTCTGTAGGGCTGCGGAAGGTGGGAGTGACTTGACAGGTAAGGTCCTTAGAACAGCCTGCAGTAGTGCCAGCTGCTCTCCACTCACCTTTAACCTTTAGTCCCGCTTTGCTCTCCCACTCTCGACAGCAACACCCGTGTGCAAAGCCAGGAGCAGAAAGGTCTGTACTCAGGGTACAGCCAAGAACGCCCATTTGGTTACTGGCAAAAGGAAAAGAGGGCTGATTATATGGTGTTTTCCATCTTGCAAGGGTACATTTGCGCTCATTTAGTACCGCCCTGAAGGCAGGTTCGCCCGGCCTTCCTAAGAGATTCCTGCTTGTTATAGCGCGCCTTATACTGTATGGAAGTGTTCAAGTGTGTAGAAGTGTGTGTGGTCATTGGATGTGTATACACACTTCATATGTAGGCGTGTGCCCCACTTGGTGACAGTGGCATCACATTGATGACTGTCACATGCCTAGTATGGAGATGAGAGGAATCTGCGTGGAAGGAGTTCTGGGGGACAGGGTGTCTGATGGATTGGGACGTTAGTCCAGAGAGAAGGGGCCTTGCCCCAGGCAGAGTTTTAGCCCGAAAGCCCCTTGCCCCCAGAGCATCCCCTTTCTTGTGTTCTGAAAACCCTGCCCAGCACGTGGTAGGTCTCGACCTTGACAATGACGTGTCCTGTCACAGGTGTTTGTGTGACGTATGTTTGTATGCACGGGTCTGTATTACCCCTTACACAGGATAAGGAATACAGTTAACATTTTTTCTCCCTTCAGAGAAAATGTTTCATAACTTGTTTGCCCTCCATACAATTTGGTATGTTTGCGTCAATTTACAGATTATCCAAGAGCTATAATGTTTGGTGTGTGTGTGTGTGTGTGTGTGTGTGTGTGAGGAAGATCAGCCCTGAGCTCACATCCATGCCAACCCTCCTCTTTTTGCTGAGGAAGACCAGCCCTGAGCTAACATCTATTGCC